AGACCATAGGGGAGAACTGGGTGAGTCCCCCCAGCGACCACACGCACAGCCCCCCGGGGCCAGCAGCGACAAACTCATGGGCCCCACCGGCACCCGCCATACCAGAGCAGATCCAGGAAAGGGTACAGAGGTCCGGGACCCCAGGGTGCACCCCCTCCAGGCCAAAGCCCGACAGGGCCAGAGGCCCCGAGCCCCAGCAGGCAGTCACCAGGCCAGGCCGGCACACATCCCAGCGCCCAGCTCCAGACCCCGGGAACCCCCAGCACGTCGGTGGCCAGCCGCACACGCCACCGGGGGGCCGAGTAGCAGCGGGCCCCCAGAAAAACCAGCAGGAGGGGAAGCCCAGACCCCAGCCTGACAAATACCCAAACATACACAATAGCACCATCCCACCCTCATCCGCACCCCCACTCAATCAAAGCCATTCAAGGACTGGCTTGAAACAGCCTCTGGTGGCAGAGGCTGTTTCAAGACTATAATGATCTAACAGAAGATTTCTATACTGATTAATGCTAAGATCATTTTTATTTTTCCTATTTAAGAGTATAGTTTTCTTTGCGATGCATAAGGCAGTGGAAATCATATGAGAAGTGTTTTTCTCTATAGTGACGTCACCTAAGATAGCCAATAAGCAAACAGACGGAGAGGGTGGAATATAACAATTCAAACACTTCGATAAATCTTCACAGCTGCAGGGTTGTTTAATAAAAGAACCTGGATCAGCATGAGGCACTACGTGCGTTACGTGAAGGTCTAGCACCTTAATAGGCTAAATCATAACATAATATTAAATCACTTTTTAGTAATATTTTTAACGTTTTTCCTTAGTTAATTCCACTTGCAGACACTAATCATTCATTAGGGTTTTAAAATGTAGCAGTTTATCAAATATTTACTTATTTACATAACATTTACCTATATTAATATGTCTATATTTGCTATTATTACCAATCTTGCTATAAATCTTGTTTTGCAGCGCTTACAAATGCCTTGTTCTTGAAAGGACCTTTTTAAAAATCTAATTAATTTGTCTATATATTAAGCTATTTAAAATAGTCCGTTTAAAGATGTGCATGTCTGCATGCTGCATCTTTTTTTTTTGCATATTTAAAGTATTTATATGCGCAGAACAAAAGAATGCGACGCAATGACAGTTACATAAAATTATTTGTTATTATGCAAGGCTAAAAAAAAACTAGGTTCGTCGAGTTTATGTACTACCACATATTCACCACTAGGGGACAGTATAACACCACGTTTTATTGGTCTTCGATTCTGTGCCTGACAGAAAATAGAAATTAATTAATTTAAAACATTGAACTGTCTTTAAT